TTATGAAAATTTAAATAAAAAATTCAATATTTGAAACCATTGAAAACCATCAAAAGTATAATAGTGTAAATACTAAGAACTATAACAAGCAAATCAATCAATTGAGTTACTCATAGTGGGCCTTAGAGTGCAAGGGAAATGACACGATGATTGAAGTCTTGAGATAGTTACATGCTTTTTGTTTTTGGCTATTTTTTGCCAGGGTTTGTGACTTCTTTAATTTTTATTCCTATTTCTTTATATTTTATTTATTAAAAATTATTGTTCTTATATGAATATTAAATTATAACCTAAAAGTACTTTCTTCATCCTAAAATAATATACATTCTTTGATTTAGAATTAGTCCTAGATTAATAATATATTTTTATATTTTAAAAGAGACAAAAACTTTTTTCTCTATTTAACCTTATCATTATCCCTTAAATTTAATTATCTATCTTGTTATAAAAAAATATTTCTTTTTTGATCTTTTTTTAAGATAAAATAGGTAAAAATATAAATTGTCCTTAAATATTTAATATGAAAATAAAATAAAAAACATATATTATTTTAGGATATAAGTATAATTTATACAAATCTGGTTAAAATTTCACTTATACAAGTGCATGTAGCATATTAATTAAACAAGTGAAGTAAGTAGGTCTAGTAAATAATTCTAAATCCTATACATATTACTTAACTTTATACTTACTTACAGTTATACTACTTTCATATCCACTATTTATCTAATATTCTTATAATTTAAATCAAGGTTTTGAAAACCGGATCGGATCGGTCGGTTGAACCGATTGAACCAGTTAAATCGATATCCGATAGTATAAATGGTTCGGTTCTATCCTTTAAACCATTTGAAGATCAAACCGTTTGAAAATCGGTAAGAACCGTTGGAACCGCTCAAACCAAAAAATTGTTCGACCGGACGGTTCAATGCTTGAGAACAAAAACTCGAGAAATTTGTCCCCCATGAAACTTGAACTTGCAATCTTGAAATCCTTTTAGTTTATTCCAACCCTTTGCCACCAGGACAGTGCACTCCGTTTGTCAATGGATGCTTGAAATTTTATTTAGTCTATTTTTAAAACCATAATTATTTAAAATTTGTTCATAAGGGACGCGAACCTGTGATCTTTGGTATGAGAAAGCAACCACCTACCATCGCACTCAATGGATATCTTGTGAAATACTTTACAAAATAATATATTTATACTATATTAATGAACCGACGGTTTTACCGATTAAACTGATCAAACCATGAACCAGAGATCAAAACGGTTTGACCTTCGGTTCGGGTTTAAAAACATTGATTTAAATATAATATTTATTAGAACAAGTAGGATGCTAGCAGGTAATAGGTTTCACCCCTACCTGACAAATCCACTCCAGCCCAACGGAAGAACTTGTAAAAGGCTTAGGCCCAGACTAGCCCAAAGAAAGAACTTGCAAAAAGGCATAGGCCCAATCCAATGGAAGAAATGGCTGAGAAACTTTAAACAAATAGCTAAAACCCAGCTCAACCCAACGGAAAATTTTCTACCCAAAAACAGTGTTTTTGGGCCTGGCCCGGCCCGGTCAGTTGAACCGATTCAATTGGACCCCGACTTGAAAACGGGTCGGATACATCCCTAAACCCGTTTTAGCATTTGACCTGCTCCAACCCGTCTGACCCACTCCACTCGTTAAACCCACTTGTTAAACCCGTCGAGCTGCACCTCAATTCTTCAATTAGCCCTCTTTTTTTTTTTTTTTTTTCATTTTCAAGGCAATATACCCATTTCATCTCATCTTTTTAATATTATTACATTAAAAATCCCTAAACTTCAATTAAGATTAGATTAAAAAAAAAAACCATAGTAGAAGGTCAAAACTGAAAACAAAAAAAAAACCCATACTTGGCAACCCAAAATCACTACAAAGTGCAGAAAATAGAAAGAAGAAGAAACAAATCTTTCCTCTGTCGACCTCCTTGCTCTTAACCACCACCATCGACAGCCTTTCCAACCCTTCGCGACTCATCTTCCTTACCTTCTCCATTGAACAACAATAGCTTCTCCCACCGAACAGAGGAGTAGTAGAACAGATCTGCATCTGCTCTCAACCACCATCGTCGGTAGCCTTTCCAGCCTTTCGTAGCTCATCTTCGTTGCCTTCCTCCACCGACCTCCCTGCTCTTCGGACCTCTTCCCTTTCACCGAACAATCCCTACTCTTCCCCTTCACCGAACAAAGCAGCAACATCGAACAAAGCAGCAACACCGAACAGAGCAGCATCTGCTGCTCACCTTCCTCTCCTTCCTAGTGGGCAGAAACAGCCTCCTTCATCCATTGAACAGAGCAGTAGCATCTTCCTCTCCTTCATCCATCAAATTGAGCAGTAATAGGAGAACAAATCTTCTGAATAAAACTTCTTCTTCGCAGCAAAACAGAGCAACATTTGTTTCCCAGCAGAACAAATCTAAGAAATATGTAAAAAAAAAAAAAAGGTGTTTTTTTAGTTGACCGGTTGGACCAATCGAGTGAATTGATTCAATCGGTTGAATCGGACCCAATGGTCAAAATGGATCAACCATTAGGTCGGGCTGGGCCGGGCCCAAAAACACTACACAAAGAGGGATTCCTCTATTAATTTCTAGGGTTTTTACCAGGAACCAAGGTTTTGAAAATCAGATTGGACTGATCGATCGAACCGATACCCAATAATATAAATGATTTAGGTGCATCCTTTAAACCGTTTAAACGGTCAAACCATTTGAAATCGATAAGAACCGTTGGAACCGCTCAAACTGAAAAACCGTTCAGCCGAATAGTTCAATGCTTGAAAATAAAAGCTTCATAAATTTGTCTCGTGAAGCTTGAACTTGCAACCTTGAAGCGTTTATTTCAATTCTTTGCCACCAAGACAATGCAATCCCTATGTCAATGAATGCTTGGAATTTTATTTATCTAATATAAATCTCAAAACTTTTAATCAAATTATGAACGACAATCATGGGATTCAAACATCCATTCTCTATGTTATAAAACAAAGTCTCTTCCACTTGAGACACAAGCTTTTATTTGTAATTTTTTGTTTTATAATATATTTATTATATTTTTAAAACCACAATTATATTAAAATTTGTTCTCAAAAGACGCAAACTTGTGACCTTTCTTATAACTAACTAACCAACTTGTAACCTTTCTTATAACTAATTAGCTACCTACCACAACACCCAATGAACAACTTGATAAATACTTTACATAATAATATATTTATACTATATTGATTCACCCGGTGATTTTATCGGTTAAATTTGTTAAATCAGTTAAATCATGCAAACTGTGAACCAGAGGTCAAAACGGTTTGACCTCTGGTTCAGGTTTAAAAACATTGCTAGGAACTTCCGTTTCCTTTTCTCTTACTCTGCCACTTCAATTAGTATCGATGAGAATAAGAAAAAAAAAATTGTTTGTTTCGGCGACCGTTTCATTCTCTACTTTGGGGGTGTGGGATTTAACTTGGAATTGAAAATTTGTGTGGATTTTGTTCTCTTCAGGACTGCGTTTTCTTCACCCATGAAGAGAGTAATGCCGTGGAGTGATGAGGTAGATCTTATCTCTTCTCATGAATCTTCTTCAGATGCAGAGGTGGATGATAATGATGGAACCAGTAATTCGCCTACTGAGCACTCACCCCAAGAATTGTCCCCTCAAGGTAATTTCAAGACATGGGTTTCATCTCGTTTTTGTTTGAGTCTACAAATTTCTCATTTTCTCTCCGGTTCATGTCCTCTTACTGTCTTGCGCTTAGCAAGAAAGCAACATTTGATTGTAACAATGGTAATAGTTTCTAACAAGGTAATTAGTTGCTTTTTATAATGTGGGATTTTAGATACAATCTCATCTTCAGTTCTACAAGAAATTTGGTGGTTGTTGTGGTGAGAATTGTAACTGTTTGGACAGGAAACAGGAACACTAATGGCAATGGGTGCTTTAACTGTATAATTGGCTTTTTCTAGTGTAAATGACTGAAGGAACAGATTACCTTACTGTTCATGCCTACTCTTAATGATTTAGTATTTACGAGCAATCTAATATGTGCTAATTACAGAATTGTTTTAGGAAGTTGTCTGAAAGGGGCAACGGTTGTGTTTGATTCTCTTAAATATAATGTGATGTTATAATTTGATTGATTCCCGTAGAATTAATTAGTAGTATTCTTTCATGGAAGAATTGTTCTTGTATTGTTTACTTTTGCTAGTGCTAGATATTGGGTTTAAAAGGTGAATATATTTATCCAATAACTGTCTATACACAAGCAAACAGCAATTTGTTGCTGCCACAAAGAATAAAATGCAGAAACTATTTAATCTATACTGTCTTTGCACAACAGCTTCAATCCCCCAATTGATTGCTATGGACACGGACTGGTGAGTTAATGTTGCCTGAAGTTTCTTTAAAGAGGTATGTTGATGAAAAGGGCAGAATTGTATCAGGAGTATATGAAGGAAGTGCCCATCCCAGCACAGCGGGGCTCTGTCATTCCATTTACATCATGGATGGGATTAGGTAGATCAATCAAGCAATTATATGGCCAACCCTTGCATTAGCTCACCAATGTTCTCCTAAAACAGTGGGACCAACTGAGATTTGGAAGCGAGGATGAAGACACGACTCTGGATATCATTGTTCATCCTTGTAAAGCTGAAGCCACCATTTGGCTCATTGAAGAAGCCCATCGGCGCACCACATCTTCCCATCACATAGCTAAACTCTGGCAGTCAGATCCAATGCATGATGCTTTTGTTGATCCCATCTTCCCTGAGTTGTGATGTTTCATGTGTTCACTTCCAACCCTGTTTGCTGATTCTGTGCAATGTTTCTTACAACTCAATGGAACCTTGAAGCTAAAGCTGTTGGAAGCAGAAGCATGCGTCTGTTTCTAACATTTGCATCATGTAAATTTTTTTTTTCATTGTTTTCTTTAGATATAGCTGCTAAATGTACAATAGGAATAATCTCTTCCTGAGTAATGAAGTCATGTTGTTTATTAATTTTATTATCTCTTAAGATATAGGGTAAAAAAATTTCTATAATGTAACTGGTATATATCTTCTGTGGAATAATAAATTAATGAAATTTGTGGAGCTATGATTGTTGAAATAGCTTTGTCATTAATATAAAATGTTTTAACATCCTCATGGCAAGAGATCGAATCTGTGCTTCTTCCCCACCTCCTTTTCCCTCACAAGCTTACAATGCTAAACCACTTGCAATGGTACATAAAAAAAAAAATCAATCAATCAACGAAATTTTGAATATACAAATTAATAATAAAGTGGGTTCTTCTCTCATTCACTTAAATCAACACAAATTTGTATGCAGATCACTTTCAATGATGTATCAAAATGATATTTGTTTATTATATAACTATTGTGGTACACCAGTTATATTAAAAGGAAAATGTATGAGGCACTGGCCCTTGAGGCCTAGTGGCATAGCCACGGTGCATTCCCCCTCCCCCGGCAGGGTTCAAAACCTGTACTTGTAAAATATGTTAAAAAAAAAAAAGAAAAAAAAAAAGAAAAAGAAAATGTATGAGATGGCAAACCAGATGAGATTGTCACTTAAAAATGGCCCACCTAATGATTTTATTCTGTCCTTCATAGTGGGTTATGCATCAGGAGAATCCTAGGTTATAATATAAGAACAGATTCGCTTACATTTGATCCTCTCAACATATAGTTTTTGCTACAAAATTATAGGAGAATCTGCTTCTCTCTCGGACTAGATAAGTATAAATAATTGTTAAAGTTGGTCTCCTTCTAATGATAGAGACAACAACCATTCGTGATTACTAATAAACATATCAATTGTTCTCCACATTCTGGGGCAGGTGCAACTGATCACATGTTCTAGTGGAGAACACACAAACACAGGTCAGTTCATGTGTTGACTAGTCCAGTCCAACCCCTTTCCCCCTCCTTTTTAGTAAAATAGTATTTTCGTTTGCCAATGCTTTATATAATTCCATTTTTTATAGCATCTTATCTAAAAATAAAATTTTAAAATAATAATTAATTCATTTTAATTCATTTTTTATATATTTTTATTAATTTTAAGTATTATTTTGCATATTTTTAAGATGATAAAAGAAAAAAAAAACTATAATAATTATAGTGTAGTACTACTGACAAACAAAGTCCAAGGCATCTCATAAATGGGCAACTGAACCAATAATTCAAAACTTTAGCCAGTGAACCAAGCAAGACCTCAAATGAGATAGCCTCTTTGATGGAGCATGCAACACTTATAAACAAAATCTAACGTTATTTAATCACTGCACTCACGGATGCTGGTCCTGATCCATTAGAATTCTTTGGAAATCTTTTAGATTTAGCACCTGATTCTCATTCTACATATCATGATCAGTCTTAGGTTTTAAGAGTCTTTGAAATGCCTTTGATGGTATTCGGAGTGGTCCTGCAGCACCCACCAAAAAGGGAGGCTCCGGCATCGCGCCATTTATCCACATATGATACAAAATCTTCATCTGCTCCCTCTTCTGATTTCTATAATTCAAATCCTCACGTCAGCTTCTTGTTAAGCTAACTATAAAGCATAAGCTTTAAGAAACTAATTCTGGGTGCCAATGAAGTCTTGGCTAATTTGTTATGATAGAATGCTATTTTGCAATCCACTCAGTACATACTACAAAACAGTTAACTATTGAGAGCCCACCCCTTATATCAATGGTTAAATGATATAATTTTATTTGAAATGATCATACCAGTAAATTCAAAAATAAAATGAAAAACTTACCAGCCATTGCTTGGTTTGACCATCATAAGTCTCACCGCTGTTAGGATATACAAGTATTGGTTTACTTGTTACCTGCAAGATCAATATTTTCCAGGACATTTTTAGATCATCAAGTTGGCATTATGATCTGAACATTCCATTTTGTAATTTGGCTACTTGAGAGACAAGAAGAGAAATTCAGCAAAGCTGAATTAAACAGTTTGAGAGTCTAAATTTTGATTAAAAAACAAAAAGTTAGATTATCTTACCTTCCTAATTGATTGAATCAATCCAAGGATAAATCGAGGTGGGGTGCAGTTGATTCCAACAGCAACAACTTTGTCACAAGAATCTGCAATGGAGGCACACTCTTCAATTGAATCTCCACTAACCACATTCACTCCATCCTTGGAAGTGAAAGAAAACCAAGCTGGAATATCTATGCCTTCTTCATCAAGAAGCTCGGCATAGGCCTACACACAGTTCAAGTAATATCACTCAGTATAACTGGAAATGTATAATCCTAACCAATGTTTATACAGGCAAATTTGCAAATACCTGGGCCTCTACTTTGTTTGGAATTGTCTCAAATGCAATGAGGTCAGCTCCGGATTCGGCAAGAATCTGAACTCTTCTCCTGTGAAAATCCTTCAACACTTCGAGGGAAACTGAATCACCATAACGTCCACTGCAGAAAACAGGGATGGAAGAAGGAAAATGTGAGAAATATATCATTTCCCAGTGGAACAGAGTCCCCTGTTTCTGCCAACAAGTTATATACATGGTCAAAAATTTTAACTTGCCTATACTCTGAACCATCGGCTAAATAAGCCCCATAGCTTCCCACAGAAGCAGCAACCAAAACAGGGCGGCTTGCAATATTCTCATTTTCCATGTAGTCCCAAGAATCCTTGCTGCATCTGTCCCGGTAAATCTCTCGAGCCTCGCAAGCAATTTCCACGCTTTTTCTTAGCAAAGCTTCAGCTTCTTCAGTGGAAAAGCCTTTGGCTTCAAAGCCCTGAATGGTTGCCTGTGTAAAACAAACATAGAAGACAAATTAAATTCGTTAAATTCTTTATCTTAGTATTTCAAAAAAGTTAGAAGGGAGGAAAAGTGACCTGATATGAAGCTGTTAGAATAATGTTCGCTCCAGCATCAAGGTAGTCTAGGTGAACCTGTTACATTAATCAAGTTAATTTTTCCATACAAATAAGAGAGATTTAACACCAACTATTCAACGTAGAGGCAAAAAAACACCTCTAATTATTTCCAAGGACACTACAAACATTAGTTGTTGGCCTAACCATTAAAATCTTAAATTTGAGAAATTCTACTGTATCCCCAGATACCATCAACGTGGTATCCCGGGCCAATCAAACAATATCATATCAATTTTTTTTTTTCATGCTTCATTAATTACCTGACAGAGAAAGGCTGATGTAGGTTTTTTTCATTGGCTAAGATACCACATTGGTGGTATTTTAGGGATACAACAGAATTTCTCGGTTCCTAATGACAAATAAGAGTACAACAAACAAAACGGCAAATGAGAGTACACGTGTACAACCATGAAGGATTGTTTCAATTAGTAAAAATTCTATGTTAAAAACTTTAAATTTAATGATTGTTTTTTATTATATAAGTTACGATGGAAGGGAAAATCAAAATATCCTAATATTAAAAATATCATGACGTTTAATAATAACTACATGATACATAAAGCATGATGTGGGTCATAGTTTTATTAAATTCATTATGTGATTATTATTTGACGTCTTGATACTTTTAATACTAGAACATCTTAGTTTTTCTTTTTTTCATAAGTTATTATTAGATGTATCAAAAAATAATGTAGCACATTTTTAATTATTAAAAACATAATGTATAATTCACTTACTATGAATTGTACATTTTATAATAATTGACGAGGACCAAACCTCCTTACATTGAGGTAGTCTCCCCCATCAATAGGTTTTTTTTTTTTTAAATAAAAAAAAAAGAAAAAAAAAAAGAAAAAAACCCTTACCATAAGTGTGATCTTATATACCAAATACACATCCACGATAGGTTTGAAATACTAATACATTTTTAGCAACGAAACCCTTTTCAAAGAAGGTTAGCAAGATATTTGTATGAATTGAAAAACATGGACGTTTGAATCTATTTCCTTTGTAAATAACAATGATTTTCAAAGCAAACAGTTATTTGTTAGTTTATGCAGCACCGCAAAGTTGCTTGAAATGTCCTTCAACCAGCTATGTCTTCGCTTTTTCCAAAAGAGCAAGCATATTAGTTTATTATTCAGTTCTAATGTAATACTATATGATGTGAAAATAAAATTATTTGTAATTTTAATCACAAGTTTAGAGTTTAATTTTTAATTTTTATATTCCAACATAATATTTAAGATTGATTATATACTTTTATTATTTTATTTTTCAGATAAAACAACCCCAAGATTAAAATCCAACGAAATTAAGAAATTTTTTTGGGCCATTGAAAATAATAAATGAAAAAGATTAACATTTAATTTTTGGCCTTTTGTTTAGTAGTAACAATTTTAAAGGACATTAAATTTTTTTAAAAAAATACAGTAGAAGGAACGTTTTATTTAGATAAAATTTCAAGAATATTAGCAGTAATTTTCCTTATAGGCTTAAAGGGTATTCGAAATCGACAATAATTCTCCTAAAAAATATTACTAACAGTGACAGCAGTCGAGAAAATCTCTCATATGTGCATTACATTTATAAAAAATTATTTCACGAAATAAAAAAGAAAAAGAAGAAAAGAAAAATGAAGTTACAGAACAAAACCTTCCTCAAGTTGCTGTTGTCTCTTTTTCTTTTTTGGTTTTTTTGATCGGCAAGTGTTGCTGTTAGTATTTCATAGGAAAAAGAACCTTAAAATAAAAAATAAACTATTTTTAAGTTACTATTGGTATTACTCCACTTGATAAAAAAAATACGATAAGGGTCCATTTCTGCACAAACTTTTCCCTTAATTACCTTCTCTGTATTCTTTAGGATTATATATATATTTTTTATTTTCATATCTCAATATTAGTAGGAAAGGAAAATTTGACAATTTTTGGTTTTTTTTTCTAATATAATTATCTACTCCCTCTCTCAAAATTATGGTTTTTTTTTTTACTTTGAAATTTGAATTTATTATAAATTGATTATTTTTTTATTTTTTAAAAGAGACATTTTTTTTTACTTAAACCTTATGTTTGGGTTGAAAAGAATACTAGGAAGGGGTCATTCTCCTTGACCCCTCCCCTCATTTAGATAATTAACTAATTAAGAAAAAAAAATAAAGCAATAAAAATTTTTCTCCTCTTTCTAATTTTTTCAATATCTAAATAAAAAAAATTTTTTCCTTCCCCTTTTTTTCGTTTCTTTTAGTTCAAATATATTATAAACTTTATAATTATTTATACACTTTAATTAATTATTTAATTACAAAAAAATCTCTTTCTATTTTTTATTTTTTAAAAATATTATAGATAAATATAAATATTGTCTCTAAATTATTAATTTAAAAAAATCAAAAAAATAATTATTTTAAAATAAAGAGAATTTTTATATATTTTAAAACATAAAAACTTTTTTTGCCAATTTTTCTAAAAATGAGAACCACGTAATATTTTCAACGACCTTCAACTCGTGATATACATACTTCTTACCAAAAATAAAATAGTAGTTTACCACTTTAATAATTTTATTACAAAATTCACAAAAGTAAAACATTTTTTAATTACTTTTTCAGTAAAATTGATATGTAAAAACAAACTCTAAGCAAAAATAGGATTGATATTCCTTATGGGTGTTTTATAATCTAAACTCTATCAATCTATTGGATTATAAAACATCAACCATTAAATAAGAAAAGATCATTTCTATAATTAGATGCTTTCATAATATGATGATATATATTTTATTTATAACCCAGTAAATTCTAAATTATGAAACACTTTTTTTTAATTTTTTAAGATCACTGCTATTTTCCCAGGAAGCTAGCAAAGGCCAATAAGATTATGGTTCGTTCCCTTTTTTTCCGTCTTTCGGTTTTCGAAAACCAAAACATACTCTCGAGATGCAGAGCATGGATGAAAATGGTATGACACGATGAGAGTAATGCATATGGAGGGAATTTAGAGGTAGTACGTACCCTTCTAACGAGGTGAGGAGAACTAAAGAGGGATTTGGCGCTCCACAGAGGGTCATTCAGGTCCTGGCCGTGACGTTCAAGTTCAGTGGCGAAGCCGCCGTCGATCACCGCGTAGCCACCGCACTTCCCGAGGAAATCAGACAGGAACGACATCTTCTCGGCTCCTCCCAACCCCAAACCCATGACGGAGAAAGACAGAAAAGAAGAAAGTAGAAGAAAATTGTTCCTTGGCGGTGTGTGGTATACGCACTTTATGCTTAAGCTAGCTTCAGGGGACTCAGAGGAATAACTCCTGGGATGATGACACTTTATAGATGGAGGCTGGAACGCAAAATTACGAATTTGTCCAAACCAAAAAAAAAAATTTATGATTTTGTCCAAACTAAAAAGGGAATAATGATCAACCAACTAAAGAGCTCAATGGTAATTTCATTCACCTGAAATCAGAAATTTTAAGTTTGAGTTACATGATATGTGGGTAAAATGAAAAAAGAGATAAAAGGTTATTACATCTTATTATGCAATTAACATAAAAAATAATAATAATGAATTTATTCTTGTTACTTTAATCCAATTTAATTATTTTTATCAGACAACAAGAACAATCAAAGGTGCTTTTTAATTAAATTATGTGGTACTCTTTATGGATATTAGTTAATTATATTAGTATCTTTTGATTAATTGACAACTAATCCAACCTCTAATTCCTATTTTTTGAATTTATATTAGGGTCTATTGCACCGCAAATCATCAGTTATTGGATGATTGTTTCACTTTTTATAAAAACATATTCGATTTAGTTATCTCATTTTTTATATATTTTAGTGCAATATTAAAAACTACTAGTATTTTTAGTTTACCTTTATCTACCTCAAAACAAATAAAAATGAGTTATGGAGTAGATTTTTTTTTTTTTGTTTAATTACACTAAATAATGGTGAAAATGAAAAGATAAGTTTAAATTATTGTAATAAATAAATTTCTAAAACAACTAAATTATACTGGGTGGTGCTATAGAGACAATTTTTTTGTCATATTTTTTTATACAACTTTCACATATCATTAAATGAATGAATGCATTAAATGAATGAATGCATTCAATGTCACGAATTTTACATGAATTAAAAGAATCAATTATTTTAATGACACATCAGATTATATAAAAAGGTGGAATAAAAAATTATACAAAAATCATTTTCTAATTATACTAGGGGAGGAATTAATTTTTTAATTAATATACGACAAACTGACAACTAATTAATTAGTTAATCCAGCTTTTCCCTTCCTTATACACCATTTATCATAAAATAACTATTACTTTTTAATTTTTTAATTAAGATTTTAAGGATAATTTTTGTATTTATTAATATTGTCTTGAAACAAGGGATAAAAAATAAGTATATATTTTTTGTAAAAGGATAATCAAGTAAATGGACAATGATGTGGTTAAAGGAGAAAAGAAATTATTTTTTTTAGCTTAAAATATAAAAAACATGAACAATAAATTTGAGACATTTAAAATGAAAAATATGATAGTTATATGGATAAAGATATGTGCACACCCGGGTGTGCACCAATCAGCATCCAGTTATATATTTTGGTATAGAGGGAGTATTTTTGATTTATATATAATACTAACTTTGTTTAACTTTAATTGTCCTAAGAGTAATTAGAATTTTTAATTTTTTGGACATTAATTTCATATAAATATTTAATATATTATATAAATAATAATTAAATTAGATCAAATGAAATTATTCGATAAAAACTACATATAAAATTAAAAATTTCGGTTATCATTTATATGCTTAATTTAATTTTCTCTGAAATTAATATCTAAAAAATTTTAAAAATAAACTAAAACTATTAAATTGACTGAATAGAGTATATATAAACTATTATATTTTTGTCGACTTTTTTTTAACTGGTATGCGTAAATTAATACGTATTAACTTATTAGATATTAATGTTATTAACACTTAAAATATTATCTATAAACATCAAACAATATATATATATATACACACATGTGTGTTCTAATTAGTTTTTGTACATTTTAAAATTAATTTATTTTTAAATAATTTTAAAAATACATCCCATATCAATTTAATATATATAAAAAAATTAACTTTTTAAAATGCTGATTTCTAAACTTAATTAAACCAAGTAATTCCATATTTCAGATAAGATCACCGTTTCAAGTCTCATAGACATATCGTGTATAAAATGTCTTGTATGTAAGAGTTTCAATTCGAATGTTTCAATACTCAATAAAACGATCACTGAATAAATTTTTTTTTTAAAAAAAGGACTGGATCATATATTAAAAAATAAGATAAAATGAAGGTTCAAAATTAAAATAATAGAACTTATTTGTGTTAGGGGGGCAATATTTAAGGTTTAATAATAATAATTTTAAATATTTTTTTATATTTATAATTAAAATATCTACAAGTCAATTTTTATGTATTTTAAAATTAATTTCTTCATTATATAAACAAAAGCTTAGTAATAATCCTCCACCCAAAATCATTGTGTGTATAATTTTCAATTTCATCGGATGTGTCCGAAGGGATAAGTATGAGATACTACCAAACAATCGAAACATTATTAATTTAATAATATAAATCAAAACACAGTGAATCGGTGTTTTCTTTAAATGTTTTAATTGGATGCAGTTATATATAAATAAATAAGCAATGTATAATTTAAATTATTAAACAAAATAAACTTTTTAATGTTAAGAGTTGTCTTTTTATTTAATAATTTTTATTTTACAATTTATACTGTAAGGTATTTACTCTTATATAAAAGCATATATATGGTATTTCTTTTATGTTTGTCTGTGTGTATGGTATGTGTGATGATAATTTTGTGAAAATTATATAATAATTTCCAACTTCAATCAGAAAAAAATTCAGGGATCTTATTGTCTTCTACCATCCTTCACAACTTTTTAATTTTTAGCCTTTTGTGGAGATGGTGATCAATTGGCACAGGGAAGCGATGGCCCAAAAAGAGGTTCTTCTAAGGTATATATTAAAGGTGAAAATTGTTTAATTAAAATGATATATATGTATATGATATTAATATTAAAAATAATATTAATTTTTTATTTTTTAATATTAATTAATTTAAAAATATTTATTAATTATATTCTTAACTAATATTTCCAACATTCAAGATATAAAATTTTATTTTTTAAAAAAGTGAGACATTAAGGAGGAATCTAGACGCATGCACATTCATCTTTTGTCCATGGCAAAAATGGACAAAGAAATGTGGTCATCATTTCCAAGGACCGAAGCTAAATCATTGGATGAGATATGCTTTATTTACATCCAATTTCTAGTAAAGAACAGGCTGATCGAAAGCTCTCCTTCTATTAGGATTTCAAAATCAGGATTGAATCCAGCCTTTATGGTGTCTAGGTTCTTTTCGTTGGACAAAAATTCCTAAAAAGCACTAGGCAGAAAGATGTGGTTATTGTAAAACGATATATCATATTGTTATGCTTACATAATTTAATTATTTTTTACGGTATTAATTTATAATTTATTTAAATAGTTTGTTATAATATTTAAAAATATTTATTTATAAATTAATTGTAATTTATTAAATAATAAATATCAATTATTTATTAAATTATTAATTATTTTTAACATTGTCTAAGGTCTAATTTAGTTGTCATATTTTATCAATTCACAATTATTGAAAATTTTTTTATTACAATAATTTAGATTTATCTTTCTATTTTTACTATTATTTATAATTAAATTAAAAAACCCTAATTCATTTTTATCTCTTTTGAGATAAAGATAAAATTAAAATTCCAATATTTTATATCTTACTAAAATTTTTTTAAAAATAAGATAGTTAAATCAGATTATATTTTTTAGAAAAATGAGATAATAAGAAGACAACACTATAGTTACAAGTTACAATGGTACGTAAAATTATAAATTTACAATTATGACGTGATATTAAATGATTATAACATAATTTTAAATAAGTGAATACTTTTAATATTATAATTTATAGATAAACTCTTAAATAAAAGAACTAATTATGTAATGATATATTATGTTATAAATTTACAATATATAATGACATTATACCTATAATATTCTCAAACAATTAAATCAAACAAAAAAAATCAAATTAAAATAAAAAAATAAATAAATTATGTGACCCTCACAAATGGCAGTATGGCGATAACAACAGCCTCCAACAAAACTCAGTACAATACCTCACCCACTACCTTAAAAGTTAAAAAACTTACGGGAGCATATCAGGTCCACAAATCTGTGCATATAATTAATTTCCTTTTGATGAGGATAGAGATTATCACATTCCGCTCTATATGTTCAGGTTGGGTTGGGCAATGGATTTCTAGGGAATTCTTTTGGTGGGTTCATTAGGCGATTAGTATATGGCGTGGGTCAAAAGAATGATTATCATATATTTGACATTAATTAGGCAACCCGCCTTAATTTTATTTTTTTTTTTTTCCAATGATTTCTAATAGAGTTTGTGAATCATTGGATAGGAATTGCCATTGCATTTAAAAATTTGTTTCTCATTTAATGATTTATATTTTGATACATCTTTATTTTTAATGTGGGTTAGCTATATTATTACAAATTCACTTATGTAATTAGCTATACAATTATTGTGACACAATATATTGTTCCATCATTTCTTCATTAGAATCGATCTAACCACTAATAATGAGCCTAATTGCATCTAGAAAGTATATAAAATATGGTATTTATTATAGTCCCACCTTCAATAATTAATATTATATTTTTTAATTTAATTGATTATTACATTATATTATTTTATTTTATTTTATTTTTATTGTATTTTTTTAAAATTTTATATCTTTCTATTTAAAAACTATAACAATAAATTAAAATAAAAAATATATGATATTAGTAACTAAAAATATAACAATAACACTTTTGAAAAATTCTTTATTACAAAAATTAAAATTGGACTAAGCACTTTTTTCTTTTTTTTTATGAAAACGTCTTCAAAAAGTTATTTTTAATTTGTAAAGAGTTAGAAATTGAAACTGTAAAATTGTTGCTTCTAAAGTGGATCTTTTACAATAAAACCTTCAAATTGGATAATTTTTATCCAATTTATAAAAATTTTATACTAATTTTTGTATATGAATTCCCGATTTAGAACCTCTAGAAAGCCTACTCAAGTAGAACTTCCACAGCAGCTACAACTAGCCAGAATAATGCCACGCGGTATTAAAAAAAAACTAGTGATATAAGTTCATTGGCAGTCACACTAATGATATTGTGATATGATTGTTGCCATGTATAGGACCTAGATGTCACTGTATGTTTACAGACATGTAATAACTAATTGAAATTCTACCCGAATTTCATCATGGGACTCGTTGAGTCACGTTCCTTAATAAGGCAGAGATGATGTTCACTCTGATTTGAAAATTAAATTTTTAATTTTTAACAAACAATTAACTTAATCTATTAATCATTGTCTTTATCAAAAAAATTAAAATTCTATCCTGTTTTCTGTTAAAAAAGAGTAAAAACTTTTTTTTCTTTTTGGCTTCGATATTACGTGTGGATAAGGTGAAGATGCAACAAAACAATTCTGTTTCTTTTTAAACACAAAAGTGAATAATATTATGTACCAAAAAAAAAAAAGTGAATTTTAACCCCCACGTCTCAATTTATATTAAAAATATCCTTACAACGAAATAGATGCCACTAGACTACCGAAGACTTCTCGCTACAAAACAATTCTTAATGAGTGTGGCTGAAAACAATCGAAATGGTGTGACATCTATGATAGACAATTCCCCTCAAAATTTCCAACCCTTTCATGCCAACTCAATCCTTTGAACCATTCTGATGGAAACATTTGGGAATATCATTGGGTTGATGATGATAATAAACTCATAGTGCCTTCTGCTGTCAAATAGCAAGATAAGGTTGCCCTTGTCTGCCATTTATTGGATCATGAAAAGTAAGAAATGTACCCATAAAAGATTATTTTTTTTCATAAGAGATTTCTAAATGTGGTTATGATTATTAAT